GGATTTTCACTCCCCTGTTCCCAGGCCTCAGACTGCCAGATGCGGCATCACTACACACTTGACTTTCTTAAAGGGAACGACGGGGCCCCACTCAGCCCCTCCAGGGGCCTCCCCATGGGCTGGGGGATGCGGCCTCCCAGGAGAGGCAGGGCAAACCCACTGAGGGGCGAAGTGCCTACCTTCCAGGTCATCGATGGTCTTTTCCAGCTTGGCGACCGTTCTCTCTGCGAACTCGGCGCGGGTCTCGGCCTGGAGAGGGAGACAGGTGTCACCACAGGCGCTTCGGGACTACCCCCTCCCCCCTGCCCTCCCCCCAGGAAACTGGGCCTAGCAGGGGTGTGCCCATATTTACCTCTTTCAGTTTGTCAGACACCAGTTTGATCTCTTCTTCATATTTATCTTCCTTTTCAGAATACTATGGGGGAGAATGAAACACAGCTTTAGCAAAAGGGGTGCGGGTGGGGTGGGGAGCAAAGGCAGGTTCCAAAGCCCCTGGAGGAAAGGCTCCTTCAGGGCAACACACACAGAGCCGCTAAGAAGTAACGCAGACACAGAAGAAACGGTGTGAGCCTGAGGCCTGGCATGGGTCTGAGTTGACCACTTAGACAAAGACACAATGAAGACACGGCCCAGCCCACGGTGGCGAACGGAGACCCACCATGGGATCCAGCCGTCCCTCTCCCAGGAAAAGGCAGGGACGCCCATGGGGGAGCCTGTGCCCCAGTGTTCACGGCTGCCCTTTCCACCAGAGCCACAAGGTGGCGTCAACCCACGTGTCCATCCACAGAAGCCGGAGAAACGCCACGTGGTCCCATCCACGCAAGAAAGCACTGTCCACTGCTCTCAAGGCAGTTCCAACTCCTAGCGACTGCTGAGCCACAGGAGCAATGCCACCACGTGGCTGAACCTCAAATCGGCCACGTGGAGTGAACTTAGGCAGCCATCGAAGGACAAATACTTATGATCTCAGGGATGTGGAAGAAATACAGACGAGAAACCACAGGTCATTCGTTGTTCCTGGGCGTGGACGGACCTCCCAGGGCAACAGCGAAGCACAGGCCACCGCCAAAGGTCAGCCGTGTGAGCCCACCCACCAGCTTCTCAGGAGTCGCGCCTGCTCTCATGAGATGAGAGCCCCCCAGAAAACCCTGATGGGAAGCAGCTCTGCTCTAGAACACACGGTGTCTCTCCGAGTCGAAAATCAACCAGACGGCACCTGTGCCACCGCCAACCAGGGGAGGGAGGCACCTTTGGGGTGGTGGTCACAGTGGTGAAGCAACTTGGGCGAGTGGCTACACGGCTTGAGGAACACCATCGGTGTAACTCAATCGTATGCGTCAGAAATCGGCGAGACACTGTGTTTTGTTGAGGGTAATTGTCACAGTAAAAAAAATTTAGATAAGAAGAAGAAGAAGGAAAAAGGTGCATTGAAGATGGAGCAGGTGCCATGACAGAACAGAGGAACCCGCCACTTGAGGCCCCTGACCTGGTCTGTTTCCAACCCTACCTTCCACCCACCTCCGTGGGGGCGGGGTCACACTGTGCTCGCTCCTGTCTCCCAGTCCCTGCCTAGGTGTGTGCATCCTAGCCTGGGACGGCCTCTCCCGAGTACCACCTGCTAGACACTGTGTCCTTCAAGGCTCGATTCAGAAGAGTGTTGTTAGCTGCCACCGTCAAGTTACCTCAGACTCATGGGACCCCATGCACAAAATGGTGAAATGCTGTTTGGCTGTGTACCCCCTCCCCCAGGGCTGTATACCACCCCAGTTCAGACTGCTGTGCTCTATGGGGCTCTCATGGGCTGATGTCCGGACCTTTCTTCCTAGTCCCTCTTCGTCTGAAAGCACCCCTGGAAACCGCTTCCGTGTCCCACAGCCACGCACGTGCCTTGCTGACAGACAGGGTGGGTGGTGGCTGTGCATGAGGTACACTGGCTGAGAATTGAACACAGGTGTCCTGCGCGGTGAAGGCGAGAATTCTACCACCGAGGACCACGCCAACATCTAGCTTCGTGTTGGACCCAGAGCCTAGCCAAGCACTTGCTGTGTGGCCAGGCATCCTCGCCACATTCAGAGACGAGGACACAGTCAGTGGTTAAAAGTCACTGTCTAGGGTCACTGGCCTGGCTCTTGGGCAACAGAGACATGGTGGGACCCGGCTCTGGAATCAATGCTCCTGACTGTTCTGTACATCGCTTCCTCTGGGACACCTTTGTCAAAGTGCTTATCAAGC